GTCGGGGAGCGGAGATTGTTGCCAAGGACCGCTCGCTTCAGGATAAGTGACTTTGACCTAGCATCAGTAACGTAGCACTCCGCTAAGACAGTCTGTCCTCCCCAGGTCTCATCTGAGCAGCTTAAATTCATCACGGAGGAGAACATTTTCTCAAAGAAATTATCTGAAGAACTCAAAGTTCATGCTCAATCATCCAGGTACAAAGTCCAGTAATGCTCAGACTGATGAAGTCCTCTGGATAGGGGGCGAAACGTCTTTCCACAAAAAAGAAACTGTCCAGATGACCTGACTGAGCATTATTGGATGTTGTACCTGGATGATTGAGCATGAACTTTGATGTCTTGAACATGCATCTATCTATCTATGTCTTGAACCACTTGGCTGCCTGCCTGGGAGGAGTCAACGAGGGACAGGACAGCCCCCAGAAACCATCTTATCACCAGCAAACTGGTTGGTCCACTGAAGGAGTGGACCAACCAGTGCTTAGTGGGGAGACAGTTTACTTGGGACTCCTCAGACTGATGAAGCCCTCTGGATAGAGGGCGAAACATCTTTCCACAAAAAAGAAACTGTCCAGATGACCTGACTGAGCATTACTGGGTATCTCAAGAACTGGTAGCCAATGGGATTTGTTGTGTTCTGTGTTCAGGTGGAGTTCTCGTACCCACCTCTGCTGCCAAATGAGGGTCACGACAGCAACCTGCTGCCAGAGGAGTGGAAATACCTCCCCTTCCTGTCTCTCCCCGACGGAGCACACAACTACCAGGAGGGTACGTGTCAGCTGCACTACGTCAGGGGAAAAAGTCCTGCAAATCTTTTTCCCAACAAATCTACAAAGATCCCAGTTTTGTACAAGCAGGAACTGTTTTCCCATTAAGTCATACTTTGTTTTTTCTTCTGCCAGTTGAAACTCATATTAAATTGTGTTCCTCGAATGTTCATCTGAAGTTGTTGAAGAAAATGCTGCTTTGGAATCCAGCACGTTTCTTTTCCTTTATTACCTTCGGATCCTAAAATCTTTGTTTTGTAGAAGTGTTGAGCGCAGTGAACGTGTCATGTGGCTGAAGTCACGTGACCGTGTTGTGGTTTTGTCTCTGCGTATCCTGTGTTGTGAAGTTATCAAGCAGACTTCCATTTTTAAAACACCTGACATCAGAGGCAGGCGGGTTTCTGTTTTTGTGATGTATTTAATGGTCAGCTCTGTGTTAAAAGCAGAAGCAGTGTTAGAACCACTTGTGTACTTGGGGTCACTGTCTCGCTGCATGAGCCACCTTCTCTCCAGATTCAGTTCATGGACAGATGTTCTGACATTTTCCTTTAGAATTCTCTGATCTAATTCAGAATTCATTGTTTTATCAATGATGGCAGGCCGTCCTGGCCCAGATGCAGCAAACCATCATACTACCACCGCCGTGTTTCACAGATGGGATAAGGTTCTTATGCAGGAATGCAGTTTTCCTTACTCCAAACATTTGTTTAGTTTTGGAAATGTAATAAACTGTATCCCATTTTCTAAACGCTCAGAGTAACGCGTCTGAATCACAAGGTTTATCCACTTTTTACCAGCGGTTTTTCACAAAATCCTTCTGACGGCAAAGTGTTCATAATGTCGTTGGAGGAAAAGTGGGTGGAGCTCCTGCAGGTAAGGGGCGTTCACTTCGGGACAAATTGTGATTGCTGATTGGTCAGTTGCTGACGAGCCTGCTGGATTGATTGACAGGTGGCGTTGAGGATTCATGCAAAAATAAATAAAAATCATAGATTTGATTGACCCGTTTAAGAGTCATTCCATATTTATTCAATATTTCAGTGACTCTAAGGTTTGAGAACTGAGCTTCCTTACAAAATCCTGATGGTTTCTGTAGTTTTCAGGGGTGCTGAGTTGAAATTTAGGGGTTCTTGAGTCTTGGTCTTCCTCCCAAAAGAGGCTAAAATCACCACTAATAGATAAAAATAAGAAAAATGAGCTTTTGTAAACCAACAGTTGGAACAGAGTTTGTGTTCATAATTACATTTTTGTATGAAGTACTCTCTTTTTGGCCCTCCAAAGCTTCCGTCCGTCTGTTAGCTGATGTAAAAGAAGAAAAGCAACAGGTGAAAGTGTTTCTTCTTGTTCAGCCGCTCATTAAACCAACAGCTTCAGGGATAGGATGGTTGTGGTTACTGAGAAATCCAATCGCTGCTGCTAAGATGAACTCAATGATTCAGTTTGAAAAGGGATGTGTTGAACTCTGCCTTTGGGTTTTGGCTTAAAAGAATCATCTAAAAACGATTTGTTTTCCCAACTCATTTAGGTTAGTTTTGTTATTTTTTTTGTAAAGTTCAACTCTTTAACTGCGGTAAACAATCCTGGTGAACTATGTTTGCTCTCCGGCTGCTCTTGTTCTGATGAAGCGGTTCGTTTTGAGATTCTGGTTCACGTACAGATGATTAAATCAAATAATTTCTGTATATTTCTCCACATTAATTGTTTTGACTCTTCTTCAGTTTGTGTTGAAGTCTCCTGCTCGTCAGGTTGGATGATTCAGACGAGGTCAAATGAAAGAGTCTCAGCACTTTGTTGTTGAAGGCACAAACTCTTTTTATGAGGCATCACCACAACTTTTCTGAATTCTGACCTTGATCATCAGAAATGTGATAAACTTTCACTACGTCTCGAACTTGGTGTTGAAGCGGCTTCATCTCGCCTCCTTTTTGTCGAGCGCCGCACCTCTGGGTCGATTCAGCAGAAATATTGTTTGCTTTGTTCAAATCTCTCTGTTGTTGTTGTTCTCTTCTCCAAAAACCCAGAAGAGAATTTACAAACCGAGATAAATTAATCAGTTTGCTACGTGAGATCATCTGTGACAGAAAGTTCTCTCCTGAGCTTTTTGAACACGTTGTCCTTAAATCCACAACTTGTGGAGGATAAACACAAAAACATGTTTTTCTGCACATCTTTTCCCGTTTGTTTGCTTCTGTCCTGAGGATTGTGAAACTAAAGATTCCTGACGATTTAAATAAAAAAATAACCCGATGGTTGAACATGAGTCGGACCGATGTTGTTCTCGTTTTGCAGACACGGTTTATTTCCACCTGCCGCCTCTCAGTGGAGACATGAGGTGCGTTTACGGCGTTTCCTGTTACCGACAAATAGAATCAAAGGTCAGTTTTATTTTTACTTTTCGTGCGTTTGAGTTCAAAAACGTTCATTCTACAGACCATAACTAACGCAGACATTTCAAAATGTGGTCTATTTTTAAATGTACAACAGTGCTGTAAAGAATTTAGCACTTAAACTGTTTGTCAGTCTGACGTGTATATTTAAGCTTACCTTTGATCTAGACTCATTTAAAGGTGATTTAGGGTCGAATGGTGTAGAACTGCGAGGAAGCTTTGCTCTGCATCGTGCTCGTGTATAAAGCACAACATTTACATCACCCCTGACACCACGTTCAGCTGCAGCAGCGAGAGCGGAATAAAAACTTACTACGACTGCTGAAACAAAACTACCAGGAACATCTGTGTGCCAAAAACATAAAAAGGAGCTTTAAATTCATTAATGAAGTAAATTAATTTGATCAGTGAGACTCGAGCTGTGCATTAACCACAGCTCCCTTCCATTAAAGGAACATTCCAGCTGTTTTGAAGCAACGTTCTATTGTAACAATACGAGGTATTAATTTAAAATCTTACTTGTTACTGCTCTTTGATCAACCTGAACTTAACCTCTAATTTTCTGAATTTCAGACCCCTGTCAGGTTTTGTATGAGTTGTTTTAGAAGGGGACCACTCGGAAAAGAAAAAGAATTTAATTGATAAACGACCCTTTCAACAGTTCGGTAATTTACATAAACTAATGATGATAAATCTGCACAACTCTACAAATACTAGGGGAGCAACAATACGTCTCTCAGAACATGAAATGACATTTTAACAGTATTTAAAAAACTTAAAGATGAAAAATTCTAAAAGTTCTCAAGCACCCTAGGAGGTTTCCTGTCGAACTGGCAGCTCTCTGTCTGTCTGGTTTCTTAAGAGTTTCTTTAGATTTTAGAACAGCTTCTCATTCACGCTGTGTGACCTTTGAACTCCAGCGAAGGGGTGGGAATTCTTCCGCATTATTTAGTGTCTCTGCAATGTTTAGAGCTAAACAGCTGCATTAGCTAAATGCTTTTAACCTTTTTCAAATGTCATCTCAGGCTCTGAAGGTTCGCCAGGCTGACGTCACCAGGGAGACGGTTCAGAAGAGCGTGTGCGTCCTCAGTCGAGCGGTGAGTCACATCCACCATGACGATCAACAAAGAAGAAACTTTGACTTCAGCTCAGAACTGAGTTCATTCTTTAGGCTCTGGGCCTTGAAGCGGTACCATCAACTTACACGAAAAGGAGAAAAATGTAGTAAGCAGTAAGTTTCTGACCCCGAGGGGAGGGAGGTGGGAAGTAAATTATATCGACTCAGTCTGTTTCAGTCATGTGGGTTTAATGTCCAAGTAGTTTTAGTGACGAGATGGTGTAGAGGCAGGGCAGCCGGCTTGGGACCCGAAAGTCCCAGGTTCGATCCCCAGTCACTGCACATCACGTGGTGTCTCTGGGCAGCACGCCTCATCCCCAAAATGCCCCCTGGGCGCCCTCAATAGCTGCCCACTGCACCACCTGGTGGTGGATGGGTTAAATGCAGAGACTAATTTCGCCATTGTATGGAAACATGCAGTGCTGACATTGTGATGACATTATTATTATTATTATTATTATAAATTGTAGTTTTCAACCCTCATAGTGTGAATGTTCACTCATCAAAACGTAGTGTCATAAAACTTTAAAGACGCTGAAAGTTTTTTTTTTTTAATATAACTTTATATTAAAATAATGAATTTTAACTATTATAGCAGAGGAAGTCCTGGGCACGGCACAAATTAAGTTAAAATTGGCATTTTATTTATTTGCCAGACTGAAGTCAAAGGAAAAGTTTATAAGACAGTGGTGAGACCAGCTCTGTTGTCTGGTCTGGAGACAGAGACATGGACAAAAAGACCGGAGACAAAACTGGAAGTGGCAGAAATGAAGATGTTCAGATTCTCTTTAGGAGAGACAAGGACGGAGAAGATCAGGAATGAGATCATCAGAGGTACAGCACAGGTTGAACAACTGGGAGTTAAAGTTAGAGAGGACACACTGAGATGGTTTGGACATGTCCAGAGGAGGGACAGTGGTTTGGACATGTCCAGAGGAGGGACAGTGGTTTGGACACGTCCAGAGGAGTGACAGTGGTTTGGACACGTCCAGAGGAGGGACAGTGGTTTGGACACGTCCAGAGGAGGGACAGTGGTTTGGACACGTCCAGAGGAGGGACAGTGGTTTGGACACGTCCAGAGGAGGGACA